GAGGCTCTTTTGGCCTTTTTTGCAGCTCCCTTTGGGATTAGTTTTTAAATTATAATGGCTACGATGAAAGAAAATGGAGTCACAGGAATACCTTATAAATAGGCTTTTGTCAAAATACTTCCCATCTAATGAGCAGATCTATAATGCTGTTTTTGACTGTAAATTTCTTAATGATTAGAACTCTTTGTTTAAATCCCATTGTGGTGAGTTACTAATACATCATTACATGGTTTCCATATGATGGGCTATTTTTATAATGTGTTGTGACTGCAATTTCCCCAAAATGAGCTGTAAAGAATCATGTTGTGGTTTAACTGGGAGACACAGGACTGAAACACAGTTAAACTTTTTATTGTATGCCATCAAATAGCAATTGCCCATCACCTTCCTAATATCTCTCCATCTAAAATACTTCAATAAATGAAACAGAATATTCCCAAATGCCCAAATTCCCCAAATTATATTAAATGGGTGATGGAATTGAATTTGTTTATACAATCTTAGTTTCCCTTCTTTGTTCAAAGCTTTACTTTTTACCTACTAAATTTGTATGACAGGTTAACAGTTAGTTGCTTAATTTTCCCTATGCAACTTAGAGCAATGTATATATAGGATACAAAAATTCTGATTTAATATGATTAGGCTGTACAATAGAATAAATTATAAAGGGGTTTTACTTTCTTTGTGCTTAGCTTACCAGATGTGTTGCTACACAGTAAGAACTTTAAAACTCACTGGCTTAGATTTATTACACTCTAAGGATCTAAGTTTCATAATGGCTACATTATTGTTTAAGTCGCCTTCAATGTGACATCTGCCTCCCCCTCTTATCACTCTAAAGGCATAAAAGTCAACAATCTGGTAAAATTACCCATTCTTCCCCCTTTTTTAAATGCCACATTTTTTATTGCTAATTATCTTAAAGCCTAATATTATTATAATAATTTCCATTCCAATGTCCTCAAGAAGTATATGCATGATAAAAAAAAATCAGCAGTACAGAGGAGTACCTTTGGAAAAGTTTCCGTCTATGTTGGTCTGCTTGGGTTGCCACAGCATAATACTTCCGACTGGGTGGTTTAAACAACAGAAACTGATTCTCTCACGTTTCTGGAGGCTGGAAGTCCAACACTGAGGTGCTGGCAGATTCGGTTCTGGTGAGGGCACTCTTCCCGGCTGGCTGACGTGTCCTTCTTGCTGTGTCCTCACATGACCTTTTCTCTGTCTGGCCATGTATGGAGAGAGAGTCTCCGGTGTCTCTTCTTCTTATAAGGACATTAGTCATGTGGCATTAGAGCCCCACTCTTAGAACCTCATTTAACCTAATTACCTCCATAGAGGTCCTCTCTCCAAATAGAGTCACATTAGAGATTAGGGCTTCAACATGTGAATTTGAGGGGGACACAATTCAGTCCATAACACCTCAATCCCCAGTTCCAATCTCCAGAGAAAACCATTTTTAGCCATTTTCTGATTTTAGTTTTTCTGATGGTTTTTACACTGTTATACACTTATGCACCTGTTTTTTGAATTATAGGTATTTAGACAATGTATCTTTTGAGGATAGGAAATTCTTTGGCTTAACATTACCTCCTAGCTCCCAGCTTTCACATTTTTGGGGGCCAGTATTAATTTTAACTTTTTCAACTGGTAGACTTTGTAACCTTAGAAAAAAACTTCCATTTCTTAGTCTGTTAACTGCGGCAGCTTCCCTTCCCTCCCCACTGTGTGAGATAGGAAATTCGCCCCTTTACCATGCTCTGCATCTCTCTGCTTCCCCCTCTCTCTCCTGGCTTTTATGAGCAATACCATTACTTTGACTCATCAGGGTTTATGATATTACTTCATGATAAGTATTAGTCATATAACTTGATTTAAAAATGAAAGACCAACAGTATTTACAGTATTATGGCATACAAATATTATTAACTATAAAACTAATAGTGTGTTAGGATCCATTGAAAAGGAAATTAAATTATACCTGAAGTACAATTTCAAGAAATTTTTTAAGAAAGGTGCATATTGCTAACTTTTAAAAAAATGACTCTCATGTAAGTTTAAAATAAACACATCAAATATTTTATTCAAATTATAATTTAATGATGAAAGCAGCAAAATTGGTCTGAAAAACACTTAAGCATTTTACAAGTGTTAGGATTAGACTGCTGGGTTAAATACAAACTAGTTAATATCTGATGGGGCCCTAAACCACACAGAAGTCATTTGAATCTCTGTCAGATAACCTCTGTCCTTATAGAGCTATAAAATACCTCAGAGATAAGAAGTCAAGTCCAGCACTGCACCAAAAACAACAAACCCACAAAACACCTGGTTACCTTTTTGCTTATTTCCAAGTTTTGAATAGTTTGTCTGACATAAGTAAGCTTCCTAAGTACTTACATACTTATATAAACATGTCATTATTTCACCCTTGTATGTACTTGGGTGATAATTTGGCTGGGTATAGGATCCTGGATTTAAAGTATTTTTCCCCCAAGGCATTGAAAATGTGCTCCATTATCTTCTCGTACACAATGTTGTTAACACAAAATTAAAAATCAGTCAGATTGTTAATCCTTTCTGATACCTGAGTATTCTTTCTCTTTTGCTACTCTCTCAAGCATTTTAGATCTCCCTTTACTTTGTGGGTTCTGATATTTTGTAAGAATTGTTTTACAAGTGAGTCTTTTTCATTTATCCCCTTTGCATGAAGGAGACACTACCAATCTTTGTCAACTCAAGTTTTTCTTTCTTCTGTTTTCCTGATTATTGTGTTTTCTACATTTTCTCTAGAACTATTGGATAGATGATGGGATTTGAGAATAATCCACTATATCTTCCAACTTTTGTCCCATATTTCACATCTTTGTTTAGTTGTTCAGCATTCTAAGCAATTTCTTCTACTTTAATTATCAGTCCTTCTATTAAAGCTCTTGCTTTGGCAATTCAATTTTAAATTTGCCAAAACTCCGTTTCATTTTTTATTACTTCTTTTTAGAAAATAGTAGCTTGCTATTGTTTGGGGCCAGTATTTTCTCAAGTTTCTCTGATGTTACTAATTAGAATTTTAAAAATATTCCGTTTCTGAACTATCTGTTCTGTTTTGTTTTGTTTCTGGGAAAATGTTCTGTTGTTCAGTTTGGTCTTATTTTGTGTGCTTTTGACATGCAGTTTATTTTCCTCAAATGTCTGGTAGGTCTTTCGGTTCATTTATATTTTTGAATGAAGAATGAGAATGGTTAGTGTGAGCAGTAACATGTTACATATTTTCTTCCCCAACACACTGTTCCCTGATGGGGCAGTGATGATGCCTCTGTGCCAATGTCCAGGCTTCATTTTATGACGTGAAAGCAGGAAATGGGAACTGGACTGGGTTTCCTGCCCTTTGCCCTCTGCCCCAGATAGGAACTTAGCTCTCTCTACACCGACCAGTCACAGTTTTTTAAAGATCACTTTGTTGATTTCCGCCTGGGGCCAACTCTGAGGTGTGTCAGTTGTTCTAACTCAGTGGAGTGAGAGGGGGTGGGGTCAAGTGAGAAAGACTTGCAATGAATGACCCTCACTAGCCCCTCAGTCCTGTGGGGTCTCCCTGGGAATCTGCTGGGAGGAGCGGATCGCTCCATCGCTGTAGCCTTGCTTTATGCCTGTGTTCTCGGGCGCAGCCTTCTCCCCCCTAAGTTATCCATCAACTCAGCACCATAGACTTTCCACCTCTCAGAAGCCATCAGAGACTTTGGTCTGTCGTTGGTGCCGTCCCTCCTGTTCACAGTGTGGTTTTGACTCGATCCCATCTTATACTTCTTCACTGTCATTTCAGTGCAATTTGAAAGAGGAAGGTTGGTAGATGCCGGGACTAAGTCCACCACTTTGAGATGGAACTTTTATATCTTTTAAAACAGAATACATTGCTGCCAACAAGATTTTCTTATCCTTTTAGGTCAGGGGTGGGGAACGTCCAGCCCACGGGCCATATATGGCCCATGAAATCATTACATCTAGGAGCCCTGCCAAGGCAACCGCAGGCAGTACTCAAAATTCAATAAATCTAGGAGCTTTTTCCATAGCTAATTTTTAAGTTGATAATTTTGTATGGCCCTTGAATGATGTTATAAATATCCAAATGGCCCTTGGTAGAAAAAAGGTTCCCCAACCCACCTTTAGGTATTCAGAACAAATAAGAATCACTCTCCTGTGTTACAATACATTATTTTCCCCCAAAGACTTCAAGCAGTTAAGAGTATTTATTCTCAGACTGCTATTGTTGGGAATTCTCATGATTACGGTTTTCATCTTTTGCCCATTGCCACTCTCATGGCACTCCCTGTGATACATTCTCTCCTTCTGACTGGCTGCTTCTAATATGTAGTAGATTATCCATAAAGCAAGAGTCAATAAAGTTTGAGAGTGTTTTGAGAAGACATTCTTTTGAGCAACATATATACTTTTGGACATGGATTTTGTGACGTCTGTTATGACAGGACTGAGGTCCTTTGTCCTCACTAATTTGGGTCTATTTTCAGATAGTTGAAAGCAATGAGATAAAGTAAACTCTGACTAGGTCTTATAGATTTATTATCTTTATTAGGGTGCTATTTATATTCCTAGTGTTGATACTAATCCTATTTTTCCTTTAGCCATCACTGCCTGTCAATGCATCATAATTCAGTATAAGCTTTCGTATAAAGACCATTTATAATGAGAATACAATGTTATACTGAAGTTATTGATAGTCAATAATTTATTTATTAATATGGATTTATTAGTAAATGTCTTCTTCCTGGTTTTAGTTTGTTTTTTAATCCTCACCTGAGAATATGTTTTTATTGATTTTTAGAGAGAGGAAAGGGTAGGGTGAGAGAAACATCGATGTGAGAGAGAATCATCAATCGGTTGCCTCTTCTACGTGCCCAGACTGGGAATCAAAACTGCAACCTAAGTATGTGCCCTGACCAGGAATCAAACCCCCAACCCTTTTGGTGTATGGGATGACACACCAACCAACTGAGCCACCTGGCCAGGGCCTCCTGTTTTTAGTTTTAACACATAAAAAGGTGACCCTGAAAGAAGCTCACAAATTATGAAAATCAATACTCTAGGACCCAACACAGTCATCTCCTACGAAGAAAATTTATTTCATGTTGTGAACGCAAATTTTAATAACAATTCTGTTGAAGTTACTTTTCTAGGACTGTTATCAAAGCATTATTTCAACTACTCAAGATAAAACATATGGTTTATCAGGATATAATATTTCAAAATGTCACAGGTGAGAAACCATTTGCCAAAAAACACATTTGTCTAATTTCACTAGTTACAAGTGAACTGGTAAGTCATGATTTTATGTGTGTGTAATATTTCTATTAAAATATCCAAGTCTCAGGAGTGATCAGAAATGGGTATGGCTCTGGAGAGATTCCAGGTGAATCAGAGGATCACCTCTGGGGGTCCACTGGGCCCACTGATTGTATTCCACAGACTTAAAACAACAAAAGCTTTTAATTCATGGTGTGATTTTAATTCATGGGTGGTTCATGAGCACGGAGAACCAAATGCCATCTCTGCTTGGGAAGAAATGAAGGGGCTGTGTTGACAGATAACTTGGAGAGTACACCTCTAGATGAAGATCCTGACTACATTAAGTAAGGGAACACTGTTGGGGAATAGAATTTTATGTCCAGTGATCAACAAGGTTGGGAGAGAGCTGGTAGTTTCTGAGAGAAGAAACCTCTCTTGATAGCTTTAGTATTGTATCGTGGGTTGGAAACAGCTAAGTAAAGAAACCAATCTCTGAAGACAAGTTAAATATTTTCAAGTGAATCTCTACAGTGAAACAGTAACTCTAAATAACCAAAATTTGCAAAACTCTCTTTTATTCTATTATACGAAGGCCAATCTGTTCTTGGCCTGATAATTATAGCTGTGTAGGTCTAGTAATTAGATGAACAATTCAGATCCAGCCCAGTATGGTCACTCAATAGAATTTTTGGTATAGATATCACAAACAAAAATGAAACAAAACATTTTCTGGGTCATATGTCTAGGCTCCAAAGAGAAAAGATGGCAGCCCAACAAGATAGTAGAAACAGAATCGTCTTCTAATACTTGCCTTTCTCTTTGTCATAGAAACATATGTTTTAAGGGAAAAAGATGTACATAGAGTTTTCAAACTGGACAAAGCCATCAAGCTCCTTAATTTCTACAGACTTCTGAGGCCCAGGGATTTGCCCAAGGTTCAACAGCTACCTGGTATCCAGCCTGCTTTATTAAGCAATGGGTGATTTAGTGTGCTCTGCTCATAATTCCCACTTGTTGCTACTTAGAAATATTTCTTGAGTTCACGTCTTTTAGGCTATGAGAGTAGCCAAGATGCGCAATTCTTAATTTGCTTGGCTACATAAGCTGAAACCCTGCCAGTTTTTCTGGGCAACACATAACAGTTGGGTCACATCAGGTAGGTCCTTGTGAAGAGATGACTAATAGTTTCAGAGCCTGAAAAAACAACTCAAAGCTAAGCCTTCCCCCTCCTTCATGTCTCCCAATAACCATTCCTTCTGTGATGTTCTGTGTGACTTCTCACTTTCAAGGAACTCAAACTCTCTGGTTATATCAGGAAACATGAAGTTGGACTGAGCCAACATGTGGCTGATTTTATTTTGTGACCTCTAACCAAATTAATCCTTTCCCATTTGCCATTTGCTGAACCTTCAGTATGAAATGCTATGTAAAAGTGAGAAGCTCAGTGTTGTGGAGCTGATGTTTGTGGAGCATCTTACACAATGTCATCTCTGCACTTAGCATCAAGTAAGCCTTCCAGAAAGTATAGATGACTTTGATGTCACCGGGGGTTCAGACATGCTGGTAGGCTCTCTTCCTTCTTGGGAGGTGGGGCTGATGATTAGTTTAATGCTAGTTCCTCTCGGGAGATGAACTCTTGCCCCATGAAATGTCTCCTGCACAAGAGTTAGGTAAGCTGGCTTGTGTGTCAAGGGGTTGAAATGCATGTTCAAGAAACCAGCCTTTTATAAGTCGCCCTCCCACTGTGAGTAGTATAGGGCCAGCTTACAAAACCGTTTGCTTATACTCTTTTGAGATGTGGTTCTGCTTATTTGGGGTTAGATGGGAGTTTTCAAGCAGTTCATAGTCTTCCTGTATGTTGGGGAGATTTGGCCTTGTGTCTGGGGTGACCTTTTGGACCTGAATATCAGTCCTGTTCTTTGGAGAAACCCTCTGGCCCCTGTACGCCTGAGCCTGGCGCTTACAGATGCCAAACTTGCTGAGCAGGATAAATACGTCCCGCTGGAAGGTCTTGGTGAAAATGGCATAGAGAAATGGATTGGCGCAGGAGTTAAGTGGATAGAAGAGAACCAGCAAGATTTTGGAGTTGGTAACAGTGATAAGAGGCTTGTTCATAAGAGCTGACAGAGTATAAAACGAGATGGGGGCCATGCACATGAAGTCAGTGAAGATCAGCACAGCCATCCTCTTGGCAATTTTGGTGTCTTTGTCCCCTGGGTTGTACTGGGGGTTTCGGACTGTGATGTAGATCTTCACGTAACAGAAGCAGACGATGATGAAGGCGACTATGTTGAGCAGCAAGACGAGGATTATATAGGCCAGGGCAAGAGGGGTGTCGGTGTCCATGGGCAGGCAGATGCTGACCTTGGCATAGCTGCTTATGCCCACCAAGGGGAGCAGGGCGAGCAGGAAGCAGCAGAGCCAGCCCCCGGCCATGATGGCGCACGCGTGCCTGAGGCGGATTTTCCGGTCCAGGCGCATGGCGAAGGTGATGGCGTACCAGCGCTCCAGGGTGATCACCGTCAGCGTGTACACCGACAGCTCGCTCGCGAAGACCGTGAAGAATCCAGCCGTGTTGCACCCGGGGCCCGTCTGCCAGTCGATGGCGTGGTTGTAGTACTCCGAATGGGTGTAGAGGTCCACGGAGGCAATGAGCAGTAGGTACATGCCCATGCAGAAGTCCGCGAAGGCCAGGTTGCACATGAGAAAGCGCGGGACGGTCAGCTTGTAGTGGCTGGTGAGGAGGATGGCCAGGACAAAGACATTGCCCAAGAGGGCCAGCAGGCTCACAAACCACACCACCACCCTCAGGAACTTGTAGCCCATTATGTCTTCACAGGGGTTGAACTCATCTGACTTGGGGGTGCACACCATGTCCTCATTGCCCCCACACACCGTGTAGTCATAATGGTTATCAAAGGCCTGGAGGGTCTCTTCCTGTGGGTTTTTGAGCTTCTGGCCAAACCCAATGATCTCATCTTCCTGTTCTTCAAAGAAGACGTAATAATGAGAGTGGGTGTCCGGGCCCTTGGAGTTTTCCTTGTACCCGGTGCTGTGGTCACCCGGATCCTCTTCATATTCCTGGTAGAAGGGACCATTCAAAGCATTCACAGATCTTCTCTGGCGCAGGCTCCGAATGCTGCTCTCGTTACACATCAAAGACTCAAGGATTCTGCAAGACAACAGAAACAGGACTTCGCTTGCTGAAAACCCACGGATGGTCCCCATGGCAGGTAGCAAAATATGCAGAATACTTACTATGATCTACATGATTCTGCAAGATCCTACATGACCTGGTCATTCCTGTCTCTCCTATGTCTTCTCCTAGTCTCCTCCCCTCCCCGGCTATGATCCATTGACCTTGGCCTTGTGTCTCATCTGCAACTATGTTGAGTCTGCTGTCCTTGTGTCCCATGGATTTTCCAATTCTTTCCACATGGTTTTCAAACCACAAAGCTTCTTCCCCAAACCCAGAAATTATTCAACTTTTTCCAAGGTCTTTTGTCTCTTATTCCAGACACCTGCCACTTACCCTCTGATTTTCTTCTGATTCTTAAAAGCACAGCAGTGGCTTGGATAAGAAAGGTCAGCCCGTGTGAGGTGGAGGAAACTCAAGGAAATTGGAAGTTTCTTTAGAGTCCATGTGTTTCTTGCTATCAATTCCCTGAGGTGCTCCAGGCCTTTGGATGGCAGGGTAGTGACACTGGTATAAGAGACATCCCTGCGGGGAGAGAACAGAGTAATACAGAGAGCTGTGGTGAGCAGCCAGAGCCTCTTGCTCTTGGCCAGAAAGTCAAACAGGCCTGAGATTAACGGAGAGATCACAGGCTTCTTTCTGCTATAGAATATGCACTCTGAGTCCTTTATCTACAGCCACTGGTCTAAGAAAGGATATTAGGCTCTAAATGATAGGTTACAAGGGACTCCCGTTTCTATTGCTTGGAACTCCAGTATCCATCAATACAAATAACCGTTTAGCAGGCATTTTATTTTATCCATCGTAATGCATACACACTCTTGGAATCAGAGACAGACATCAGTTCTACTCTGGAAAACTATACTTGTCATTACTAACGGGTCTCAAGAGGCAGGAGAAATATGCTTGAACATGCTCAATGGGGCCAAAAGTGCTCTCAGTCTCTGTGGGGATTAGAGTTGGGGTTAATAAATTGCTCAGTGATATGGATCAACACCAGTATTGCGAAAATTTCCAAAAGATGCAGAAGTTGATAGTCATGCCAATTCCATGGTGAATTCATGACTCAGAGCAGCTTGCCCGTGGTTTCTTGAGAAGGCTGTAAATGTGTTCCTGGGGAGAAAACTTTAGTATTTAAGTGAATAATCTGAAATGAGATCCAAGTCTCTCTGAAAGAAATGGCGAAGGCGCTGAGACTGGGGACAGTGTGGACATCAGTGTTAGTTACTAGAGTATACTTAACGTGTGGCGTCTTGTGTGACATTTCTAGTCCTTTCCTCAGTCCCAGAGGGTCCAGCTTACACGTCTTGCTCCATCGTTTTTAATTGCATTGAATAATAGCTTGAAATGAGACCATGAATATTTAACTTAATATTATATTTTGCCAATTAAAATATTTGCTAACTATTCTTTATATTTTTACGTATTTTACCCTCACTTGAGGATATGTTTATTGATTTTAGAGAGAGAGGAAGAGAGAGAGAGAGAGAGGGAGAGAAACAGCAATGTGAGAGGGAAGCATCGATCGGTTACCTCCCGCGCACGCCCCGACCAGGGATCGAACCTTTTGGCGCACAGCATGATGCTCCAACCAGCTGAGCCACCCGGCCAAGGCTATTTTATCATTTTTTACAATTCCACTTAAAACTATTTAATATAATTGTAGTGTCTGATTAGTGAGTGAATTCCAATATGTACCACCTCTTCCTCCACACCATTGCAATTGGACTGCACCGGGCCTTACATTCTCAGGGTTCAAGGCTGCAAGAACTTACTGCTCAGTTTTTATAAACACGAAGCTCATGTATTCACCCCATTCTCACCCCAGAGCGGTGGTTCTCAGAGAAGGCCTCCACTCTCGCTGTTTTGTTTTGCATTTAATTTAAAAATTCTATAATCAGTATTTCCCAAACTTGCTTGATGGTAAGAATTGCCCTTGGTGCTTGTTACTGTCTGATTCCCAGGTGATTTTTAACATTAAGCAAGTACATCAGGGAAAAAACTAGCGTAAACAACCAACTTTGCCATTCGCGAGACAGCTGAGGGGCCTGTCACAACCGGGACGAAGATGAAGCTGACTTCGCTGCCCTGCCTCACCGCTCCTTTTGGGGCGTGCCACGCTCCTTTGGTCAAGCCCCCTTCGAGGTGTGGCCATCCATCATTCTGCCTCCCGTTTCTGGAAGCAGCTAGTGTGTTATGTCCGTGTTGGATGCTCTGACTGTGTGTATCCATTTGAAAGAGTTTACCCTTCCAAGTAATGTGTTTGTATTTTATTAGATTTTTAAAAATTTAATTTAATTTTGTATGTTTCAATTACAGTTTACATTCACTGTCATTCTGTGTTAGTTGCAGATGTACAGCAGAGTGGTGTACAGAGTGGTCCCCCGGATGTTTCAAGCATCCACGGGCCCCCCCACAGTCATCACGATGCTGTTGACTGTATTCCCCAGGCTGTAACCTACGTCTCTGTGACTGTTCCGCAACTACCAATTTGTACTCCTTAATCCCTTCCTTTCTCACTCAGCCCCCGAACCCCCCTCCCCTCTGACAACTGTCAGTCTGTTCTCTGTATTACTAGATATTTCCTTCTTTATTTTTCTTTTTAATCCTCACCTGAGGATATTTTTTCAATTGCTTTTCAGAGAGAGTAGAAGGAGGGGGGCGGAGAGAAAGAGAGACACTGATGTGAGAGAGACACATCGATTAATTAGTTGCCTCCTGCACCTGCCCCGACTGGGGCCCGGGATCAAGCCTGCAACCGAGGTACATGCCCTTGGCTGGAATCGAACCCAGAACCTTTCAGTTCACGGGCTGATGCTCTAACCACTGAGCCAAACTGGCTAGGGCAATAGATATTTTTTGAGAAAACATTTTCATAACCGTTCCAGTTTTCGTGTGACGAAACATCCCAAAACTCAGTGGCATCAAGCAACAATCCTTGTATTCTAAGGGTAGTTTTTGAGGGTCAGGGATTTGAGCAGGGCATGGAGAGATATACTTGTCTCTGCTCTGTGGTGTCTGGGGTTCAGCTGGGAAGGCTTGAAGGCTGCGGCGACTCCATGGCTGGGGGCTGGGTTATCTGCAGGCTCCTTCACCTGCATGTCTGGTGCCAGCACTGGGATGATTCAAAGCTGAGCTCAGCTGGGGCTGAGGATGTGGCTTCTCCATGTGGCTTGGGTTTCTCACGTCATGGCAGCCAGGTTCTGAGAGGGAGCATCTGGAAAGTGCTCAAGAGAACTGGTAGATTCAAGGGCAGGGGACACAGGACCCATCTCTCAATGGGAGGAGTGTCAAAGAATCTGATGACTGATTTTAAAACTGCCATAGTGATCTACATGGTGGGGCTCTCCTTGAGGCAGATATTTGGTGAAACCTGGTAACTCACCACTCTACAAATCAGTGTGTCCAGTTCAGCCTCCACCCTGGACCACTGTCAGGATCACCTGCAACTGAATGATAGTCTCTGATGGCGGGGCCCAGGAATCAGCATTATTTACAATGCTCCGTGGATAATTCAGAATCTCATCTGAGTTATCAGCATTTTTATGAAACAGGTGGATACTAGAGTTAAGACAAAGAAACAAGGCATGTTGTGTCCAAGGGCAGAGCCATAGCTGTCATTTGGGTTTAGAGTCCTTAGGTTCTGTGTCCTAGAAGCTTTTCTCTACCTCTTGTCTTCAGGTCTCTGGAGTCTGAACACAGATCCAGACACAGCAACCCTCCAGGGACTCATTCTGGAATCTGGAATTCTATGGTCTGTCTGAGAATCTGCAATGAGTGTATCCCAGGTGGCCTCTAGCTGGGTCCCAGTGAGAGTGCCTGGGCAGGCATGGAAAAAGGAGGTGATGGAAAATATGTATAAGCCTTAGACAGAAACATCTGTCGCATACTGGGTCCTTGGCATATAGTAGTGTTCAGTGAATGCAATTCCCTCACTGCCTCAATTTGGAGTTTGTTGAGCTCAAGAGAGAAGCAGAGGGACCCAGGAAATATAGCCGTAGCCAAGATCTTGACTTGTATATCCAGCTGCTTGTTTGACATCTCCACCTAGATGCCTCAGAGGCATCTCCAACTTACCAGGCCCATCTCAAACTTTCAATCTCCTCACCCCACCTAATCCCGCTCCTTCCCCACTTAATCTGGCAAAAGACCTGTGGATTTGAACTCCAAAAGGCTCTTGAATCCATCTATTTGCATCTCTAATGTAAGATCTCCAGCTCAAGCTAACATCATCTTTTGCTGCAATAGCTTTCTGGTCCACCCTTAATCTCTTCCAGTCCATTCTCCACACAGCAGCCAGAACAGGCTTAACACATCCGGTGAGAAAGGTCACGCTCCTGCTCAAAGCCTGGCAGTGACTTCCTGATGTACCATGAGTAACATCTACTCTTCCTACGGTGCCCATAGATATGGCCCTTACCTTTCTCTCCAACCTCATCTTAGGGGCTTAAGGCCACTTACAGGCCAGTTGGAATCTCTCTGGAGCCGTCTTCCTCCCACTGGCACGAGCCACTTGACGTAGCTCTAAGTAACCATTAGGCCTGCTGCTGGGGAAGTGCCCCTGAGGTGCTGCCCTTTCCTGACGCGGGCTGCTCTGCTTCTGCCACTCAGGCACTGACTGAGTCAAGTAAAGGGAACAATTGCTTTTCCCTCTTTGTTTTTGGATTTAGCCTCCTTTGCAGAGATCTGCAGTTTTAATCAGAGAGTCTGGATTATCAGAAAGGAAGCTAGGAGCTCCCGTATGCTTCCCAATGGATGTAGCGTGGCCTCCCACTCAAAATAGCCCAGTGGGTTGGCTCTTGCCTCCAAGCCTACTGCTATTTATTTCCTAAATTCTGTCCACCCTCTTCCAGGGCTTGTATCCTCATGGGTTCTCTCTTGCCCTTGCCATAAATATTTACAGTAAAATGCAATTGGGCTAAATCCCCTGATCAGATGTCAGCTCAATTGTTTATATGCCTACAGTCTCACAGTTCTCATTACTACCACCTTAGTTTAGGTCTGACTTGCATTTCATCTGAGTTTTCCAAAAACTTCCTGACTGGTCTCCCAGAAAGTCTACTGATCCCACTTGCCGACTTAGAACGAAATGTTCTTTCTAAAACTTGGATCTCATCCTATTGTTCCCCAGTTTGAAACCCAAGGTTCCTCAAATGTCTACAGAATGAAATTCAAGCTTCTTGGAAGAGTACCCCTCTTCCCCCCACACTTGTTTATCTTGGTTTCAATCTTTCATTAGAAGCAATCACTGGCTACTGATCCTCGGTGGCACATTCACGCTTACCAGCGAGGCACTGGAAAGCCAGCTGGGAGCTTGTCCACCGGCAGACTTGGCTTTAGGACAGTTGTGTGAGGAGCTGGCCGTTGTGCTGCTGGACCTAAAAGGCCAACGTGGAGGTCTTTTTCATTTTAGCATTTTTCAACTTCTTCAGAAGAGAGACCTCAAATCTCAGCCCAGAGGGGATGTACTTGGCTGCTGGCATTTTGTATGAATGGGGTACAGGGTTAACATTTCCAGCTATAGA